TTTGCCGCCGGCCGCCACGGCCCCCGCCTCACTGGCGCCACTGCGCAGGCGCGAGACGGGCCCGCAGGGCGCATGCGCGGGAGCGCCGGGGTGGGCAGGTAGTGCGCATGTGCCGGGGGAGGGAGGGGAGAGTGGGTGCTCCCTGAGCTGCTGCAACCTCCTTTCTGCAGCAGCCCTGCTAAGTGCCCGCAGCAGGAAAGGGGAAAGTTTGCTTGGGAGGGGGGGGAAAAAAATCCACCAACCTGAAGGCTTTGACATCTACAGCCTCAAAGGAGTTGGCATCTAAACCGAGGTGGGCAAAAATGCGGCCCATAAGCCCCTAAAAATTGTTTTTTTAAAATAATATTTATTTGCACCTGGCTGCCTGTTGTGTGGCCCTCCATGGCTTGCCAAAACTCAGTAAGTGGCCCTCTGCCCGAAATAATTGTCCACCCCTGCTCTAAACACCCGTGCCCGTGCCTAGAAGTTTGACAAGCACTACTTTCCCCTATGCCTGATGAAGGATGTACGCACCCAAAAGCTTGCAAATCAATCACTTAATGTTTGCAAATGTTTTGTCAGTCTAATGCAACCGGGGCTCATGGACGCAGATGGTATCTTTTATTAAACCAACAAGATTTTTGCAAAATAATCTCTTGCAAGCTTTTAGGCCCACTCACTTTCCAATTGCAAGCTTTTGGGCACAAAATGTGAGTGGGCCTGAAAGCTTACAAAGCGAGTTTACAATTGCAAAGCAAGTGTGCCCAAAAGCTTACAATTGCAAACTCACTTTGTAAGTTTGAGGCACACTCGCATTTCATGCCAGAAAGCTTGCAATTGATAAGATTGCAAAAAAAATTCTTTGTCTAATAAAAGATATCACCTCTGTCCATGAGACCCGATTGCTTTTTCCTCTAGACCAATACGGCTACAACCTGGATACCTGACTTGGTCTAATGGCAGGCAGGTTCTTTTTTAGACCAGCTGAGTAGGTGGGGAAAAAAGTTGTTAGTGAGCTTTCACCCTTCGTCATACCTAGGGAATCTCTGCTGGTCTGAGAATCCAAGGCTTCTGGGTCTAATAAAATACATCACCTCTTCCACCGGTTTTGATTCATTGAGCACTGTTTGCTCAATTCTTTCACAGGGGATTAAGCACTGAGTCACACCAGAACTGCAGCAGGAGCTTGACTTTAAACACCAAGGGTTTGTGTTATTTTTTTTTTTGTAGTTCAAATATATACCAGATAAAACCACAACCCCACCTCTGCTGGTGCAGCTTGGTTTGTGCATTTACAGCAGCTGAGCTGCTAATTCAGTACAGCTATCCCAGTACTTTGTACTGATAGTTGCCTTTCAAGCTTCTCCACACTTCAGGAGATAGCGGCATACAATCCCCCAGGTTAGGTTTCTGCCCTATGCTAGTTTCAAACTAAAGATCACAAGAAGCAATCTGACAATATTCCTTTCCTCTGGCGCATGAACTCCCTATGCTTCAAGCATGAACACTTAAAACAGCTGCCATTTTATTTTAACTTTCAACTTAACATAGGCTTTTTTTAAACAGAAAAAGCATTTGCATAGCCATTTCCCAGCATTTTCCCTCCAGACTTGACGCAAGATAACCTACTGATAAATAACACTGAAGTAGGACCACATGCTTTTCTTAAAAAAGGATCAGATTTATTGATTAGACGTGGCCAGCCAGATATTTTGCTACGATTAGTGCATCTTTGTGAAGTGTAACCCTTCCAAACACTTGACTGGATGGTCTTACCCATTATAAAATGGATAAGTCATTCTAGCAATGTGAAACTTCTGCACAAGAACTCACCTTGTCCTTCAGGGAAAAAAGATGTACTTTTTTTGCAATAAACCCCACGGCCGCATCCAGACGAGCACAGCTGTGCTGTATGTGGCACTGCAAACACATACTACACATTCAGCTGTTCTCCTGACTCAAGGGAGCAGCGTTGGGGGCAGGGAGGGTTTGACCCCTGCATATCCAGGGGTCAAAAAAACCTGAGCAAAAAAAAGTGGAGCGGTGCACATGGGGGCAACACATGCTGCTCAAAACCAGAGCCTGGCCAGCAGAAGCCCCAGGAGGCCCCCGGGAAAGGCTGCTGGAGCCAGCACAGTGCTGGCCCCAGCCTCTCCTACCCCACCTAGGGTAACCTGCCACATGCCAGAGGGCACATGACATAGGAGTTCCCCTGGGACAACTAGCAGTACCGCAAGGTGTCCTGCTGCAAGTTGTCCCCAGGGAACAAAACATCTGCACTCGTGTGGACATGACCCATGAGTATCTCCTCAGACATCATCTGAACAGGACCACCATTCAGGCCTAGGCTGGTAGTGGAAAAGCAGGGAATTTAGACGATCTAGGCAGGTACTCACTACACTCAAAAATCTTCTCAACCCCATCTAAAAATGCTGCATTCTTCCTACCCCCCAGAATCTGAAGTGGCATTATACTGCAAATCTAAATCTCCTGCTGGCATCTCTTTGAAAAGTGATCTTATTTGAAATAGATAGAATTGGCAGAATCTATCCAGGACAAACATGTTGATCCTGTAACACTGATGTCAAGTTTCTACCCATCAGTGTCCCCCATTAAAATAGTATGAAAAGTGATGCGCACACATTGATAGATTCTGAATTGGCAACATGTTGGGCTACACTAGTTTTCAGTTAGACAGCTTTTACTTAAAAAAAGAGAGGCAAATTTAGTGTTTTTAATCCAACTTAATTCATGACATACACACTGTGAACGTGAGAAGTGCTTGTCACTTTTCAGGATGTTATACTCAGCAGAACGCAGATTTAACCTATAACTACACTTCTGCACATCCTTTTGAATACTGAACAGCTGCATTTGATTACTAGACTGCCCCTGGCAGGACATTAGAAATGAGTGTATTGCCCAAAGCTTTAATAGGCACAGACAGTATGAAACCTGTAACATTTTATTTAAAAAAAAAAAAAATAACAGCTTCAGAATAGATCCAAGTGTAATAACTTCTCCAAAAAATACCAAAAGGTACAGTGTAAAGCATCTTCTCATTAAATACAAACTAGCTTTTCGTGATGCATTGCATCAATGTTTTGCATCTATGTTGATGCAAAAGGAATTTTTCATTGCATCCTGGTACACAGGAATGCATATACTGAAACTGGATGACTAACACCACGTTACCTACTTAAACTGTAACAGAGGGACTTTTTCAACAAAATGTCTATTAGTAATTTAAAAAAACCTTAACGCTTATTAGTTTAGTCTGGCTTTTTTTTTTTTTTTTTTTTTTGCTAAGGTACATTTTCAAAGTTAAAAATAAAAGATTAAGGGCTGAGTAGCATCAAGGCTGCATTTTAAAACTGCTATATGAAAAGAAAAGCCCGTCTGCTGTTAAATGCTCCAGTCCAGGGGAAACTCCTCATTTACTTGGAGTTTCAGAGACAGAAACACACAGGAACCAGGTTTGTAAGAAGTCAAACCCAAACTCTTCCAAGCAAGGGAAATTAAGACCACCTCACACCACAGGCATTTGTGCATACAGCAAGCCAACAGTTCCCTTTACCTGACTGTACTTAAACCCTATTACTATAAAACAGTTTAAAATCCATTAGCTCATGGATAAAGTGTAATTTTACCTGTGAAAAATTCTGAAGAGGTGCGTTTCTCCTGGAGGTATGAAATACACAGCGAGGACACCCCGATCTGGCTGTCATCTTGCAGATATCCATGCAGGTGCAAAGCTATATGCAGGTAGGTAACTACATGCACATGCTCAACTTTCTGCACAAATGCCAGCAGGATGCAGGCTCGCTCTCTCAGCGAGTCATCCCCAACTTCAGTGTAAAGATGTCTAATTGCTTCCATCAAGTTCCTACTTTTACCTCTCTTTGGTATACACAAATAGGTGCCACTTGATACCTTCCCTTTGACAGTTTCTCAGGAGACTGAGGAAATGCTTAATGGGCAAGATTTACATGTCTGGGTCAGGAAGCCTCACGCGTTTGGCCCTCTTGTAAAAAAGAGTCAGCCCTATCCTTCTAAAGGAATTTCAAAAACAGAATATTATTTAGTTGTATTTGTGAAAAACAAAAACCTTTAAAAAAAAGGAAAAAGCCAGAGCTTTGTAACAAAAGTAGGAGACCAAAATGTTCTGCTTACAGAGAAGGCTGTTAAAAGTACAAATAGCTGCACTGTAAGGTTCTCCTGTGCACACAGTAAGCCTCAAATCCTGACTTGAAACACTTAAGGATAACAGGGATGAAGACTATTCGCTTAGGTTCTTGACCTCTCCGCCAACAGCTTTGTTTTTTGGGAATAATATTGCAAAATACTGAGGTCTCCAAGGGGGAAAAATAATTAAAAAAAAAAAGATCTGAGTGCCCAAAGCATTGCAATCAAAACTCTGAGGAAAGAGGCAGTTACATTTTTAACAAACTATTCAAAACTGAGGCTCTCTGCCAAACTACAGTCCAGAGGGACATTTTCTGGCAGATTTTGACCCTTGAAAAGAGCAGTTTGTAATGGAAATATTGACACGATCTTCACTCCGGCAGGGGGCGGAGGAGCAGATACCAAATTGCCACCGTAAAAAATAGGAACTTTTACCTTGCATTTGTACTTCGGCTGTGAAAGGAACCAAAATAAATAGTTTGCCTTTATCACCAGCAGGGCTATGCAATCATTTTGTATCAGGACATGACGCCACTTAAAAACCAGATCATTTTCCCCAGTTTTTGCCTGGGGCAAAATCTTTTACTATTCAAAGTAAAAGCAGCAAAGCTTCAGCTTTGTCGGCATCTAAACGAAGAGTGGAGAATTTCAGTGACGTGTGCTGTATTCTTCTGCCCACTTTCATCTCAGTTTCTTAGACGGATGGAGTCTTTACACAAGTCCTTTTGACAGTCTAACCCACTGTTACAAAACGGCTTCCTTTGTTCTGAGACAGGGCTGTTCTTTGTTCCTTCAGGATCCCAAAGCGCTCATTTAAAGTCATTCCTGTCTGAAAAATAAAGTCACTTCATTATAGAGGTTGCAAACATATTAGCCTGAAAGTAAGAGTTTGGACAATGAGAATGGACCTGGCCTAGCTCTGTAACATCAGATTCCAATTCATGCAGAAAGAGATACTTAGGGTGTGGACACACACTTTATCATGGGATAAACAGGGTGAGGCTACCATGCATCAGCTGCTCTGCATCCACTTCTTGTGTACATGCCCTTACCCCATGATAAGCGAAAGCTAGACCATGGTAGCTTGGCTGTCTTTCATTGGGCTTTAGCTTCCACTTTTTATCTGGTTGTGAATTTGCCCATCACCTAAGTTTTGTTATATGAATGCTGAAGGCTGTAGGTTACTAGTTTTTAACTAGTAAGATTATTAAAGAGGTCATTCTCAACTGACTGGCCGACGGCAACATCCTGAGGGATACCCAGCACAGGTTTGTTGCGGGTAGGTCTTGTTTGACCAATCTCATTTCCTTTTACAACCAGGTGACCTATCACCTGGACAAGGGAGAAGAGATTGATGTCATATATCTTGACTTCAAAAAAGCCTTCAATCTGGTATCTCATAATTACCTCTTGGTGAAACTGGCCAACTGCGGCCTCAACCTCACCACAATCCGCTGGCTGGGGAATTGGCACCGTGGTCGGACCCAGAGGGTGGTGGTTGGCAGAAGTCAATCATCATGGTGCCCCGTGACCAGCGGGGTCCCCCAAGGCTCTGTCCTTGGACCTATATTCTTCAATATCTTCATTAATGATGTGGACATTGGAGTCAGAAGTGGACTGGCCGAGTTCACCGATGATACCAAACTCTGGGCTAAAGCGTCCACACCTGAAGACAGGAGGGTGATCCAGGCAGACCTTGACAGACTCAAGAAATGGGCAGATGAGAACCTGATGGTGTTCAACACCAAAAAAATGCAAGGTTCTCCACCTTGGGAGGAAAAACCTGCAGTATCCTTATAGGCTTGGCAGTGCTACGCTGGTTAGCACTACAGATGAAAAGGACTTGGGGGTCAGGATTGACCACAAGATGAACATGAGCCTTCAATGCGATGCTGTGGCTAGTAAAGTGACCAAAACGCTGGCTTGCATCCATAGATGTTTTTCAAGCAAATCCCCGGACGTCATTCTCCCCTTGTAATTGGGCTTGGTGGG